CACTCCGGTAAGGGAAGCTGAGTACGGAAGCTCCATTAATCAGCCCCCAACCTCAAATTTGGATACTCAGTTTATGGGTTGGGAAAGGGAGATTGCCCGAAAGAAAGCATCTGGGATGGCCGGCTGATTCCGAAGAAATGAAAAGAGAGCAAGGTCGTTTTCTGTTCCTGGAAACCAAAGATTAAATAGGCAACAACTGGTGCTACCCAACGGATTTCTTTCTTTCTTCCTTCCTTCCTTTCTGTCTAAGCACCCTGGCAGGGATACTTTTTCCACCTTTGCCCAGCACGAATTTTTTTTAAAAAATATTTTTATTACGGACTCTTCTGAACACAAAAGTATAACAACCCCCTATGTACCCAACTCGTGGCTTCAACCTCTATTATCATTTCATCCTTTATGTTTTATCATCCACTTCCAGTCTCTCCTTTTCTGCAGTATTTTAAAGTAAATCCCAAACATCACATCATTCACTCTTAACACAGGATTTTGAGGATATATTACATTTCAAGATTGAGCAAAAAGACTTGAGTTTGAGTTGTTCCAATTACAATCTAGAAAGAACTTGAGGGTCCACCTAGGAAAAAATCTAGACCAAAAAAGGGTTTGGAGATGTGGTTGCATCTTGCCTAAAATTTTATGTCTCTTCTTTATGAGAAATACATATGTATAAGAAAGTAACCCTTTTCTATGAGAGACCCATCCTTTAATTGAAGATTTCTATGGCTGTGTCAGGTCTTTGGGGGAAGATGAAAGCCATTTCTTAGTCCTTTTCTATGTCCTAAATTGACTGTATTCACTTATCAGTGGGCAAATGACCATTTCCCATTTTAACACATCTCCATCCCTGGTAGAAATCCAAGAGATTTCTAATGATTAAACTAGGAGGGGGAAAAATTGTACTGGATTGTTTTCTCATCACAGCAACCACAGTTTTCAAGAAGAAATGCAATTTCATGTATTTTAGAAAAACAAAAATGAAAAACCCCAGCGGTGAGATTTTTTTTTTTTTGAAGAATTAATAAAGATGTTGTTGTTTCTTTTGTTTTGTTTTAATTCAGTGGTCTAATGGACAATTAGGATGATCCTCCCAAACAAATTCTGAAGATGATTTAATTAAAAGCCTTGACAATTTTAGAAAGAAAGAAAAAAAAAAGGCAGAAAATAGCAAACCGTTGAATATGATGAGTCCTATATGAGCCAGCTGCTTAACAAGTTCTAACCCCACTTGTCTGAGGTTCTGGTTCTTCTTTCCATGGCAGACTGTTGGGTCATTTTACATTTGGGTTGTTTATGGTTCCTTAATTTTTTTTTTTTTTGGAGAAGTTATTAAATATCTGGGATGCTTTTATGCGAAGCATATCACCTACTCATGGCATTAGAAAAGAGCTATTTGAAAAAACACAAAAAGGGTGTGTAAATTAAACAGGAGGAGAAATTACATGCACAAATTTTATATCAATCTCTAGCAACTCCAGTTGCATGTGGCAGAAGTCCTGGAAGTGCTGGCCATGAGTCCCCTGCCCACAGCCTGTGGGGCACCAGCAAGATCAACCCTTACCTGATCTTTGGGCACAATGGCTGGTTTGGGGTTCCCAGGTCTACTGATCCTATGATGAAGTTCACTACAGGGGTGAGGGTTCAGGTCAGGGTCAGAGTGGGGACTGCAGAAGCCAGAATATTCAGAGGAAGAGGGAGAGGGTAAAAGAGACACTACAGACAAGCTGAGAGACAAAGAGGAGGGGAGAGATGGGAGGGAGAAGAATAAGAAGCAATGAAACCATAATTCCCAGCAAAAATTTAAGCCACGGCAGTCCAAGGAAGGCCCGGGCTTTTAAAGCTCTGCTGAAGCCCATTTTTTTCCAAAGCCTGTTCTTTGCTGAAGCCTGGTTGGGGGCCCCTGCTGGTGAGCCCTACTTGCAGCTTAGGCTGTAAGACTCCCTGTGATTTCTATAACTGCACAAAAAATAATCTGGCCCTCAAGAACCTGTTATGGGTCCAGAGATAAATGCAGGCTCGAACTTCTGCCCCGTAGAGAGCTCAAACATGAATTTCTGCTGATATTGGCTTCAGAGGCATAGGTCGGGAGTTGAGCTTGGGACAACTCCTCAAGCCTGCTAGCAATTACGTGCTCTCAGCCACTTTTTAAAAGGCCATATTTCTTTACATTTCTAGGATCTAATATGAGGTTATGTCGGGTCATGGGACCCTTGGCTGGTGCAAAGTAATTTAATGTCACCGAGAGCAAGCAGACTCGTTTGTCACCCTGAGGAATATAAGTCCCCGCAGCCTGTGCTGGGAGCAGAGCAGAGTGGGGTTGGCTGGGGCTGCAGGATCCAGCCTGGGGTCCCTACTCATGGCATTAGAAAAGAGCTATTTGAAAAAACACAAAAAGGGTGTGTAAATTAAACAGGAGGAGAAATTACATGCACAAATTTTATATCAATCTCTAGCAACTCCAGTTGCATGTGGCAGAAGTCCTGGAAGTGCTGGCCATGAGTCCCCTGCCCACAGCCTGTGGGGCACCAGCAAGATCAACCCTTACCTGATCTTTGGGCACAATGGCTGGTTTGGGGTTCCCAGGTCTACTGATCCTATGATGAAGTTCACTACAGGGGTGAGGGTTCAGGTCAGGGTCAGAGTGGGGACTGCAGAAGCCAGAATATTCAGAGGAAGAGGGAGAGGGTAAAAGAGACACTACAGACAAGCTGAGAGACAAAGAGGAGGGGAGAGATGGGAGGGAGAAGAATAAGAAGCAATGAAACCATAATTCCCAGCAAAAATTTAAGCCACGGCAGTCCAAGGAAGGCCCGGGCTTTTAAAGCTCTGCTGAAGCCCATTTTTTTCCAAAGCCTGTTCTTTGCTGAAGCCTGGTTGGGGGCCCCTGCTGGTGAGCCCTACTTGCAGCTTAGGCTGTAAGACTCCCTGTGATTTCTATAACTGCACAAAAAATAATCTGGCCCTCAAGAACCTGTTATGGGTCCAGAGATAAATGCAGGCTCGAACTTCTGCCCCGTAGAGAGCTCAAACATGAATTTCTGCTGATATTGGCTTCAGAGGCATAGGTCGGGAGTTGAGCTTGGGACAACTCCTCAAGCCTGCTAGCAATTACGTGCTCTCAGCCACTTTTTAAAAGGCCATATTTCTTTACATTTCTAGGATCTAATATGAGGTTATGTCGGGTCATGGGACCCTTGGCTGGTGCAAAGTAATTTAATGTCACCGAGAGCAAGCAGACTCGTTTGTCACCCTGAGGAATATAAGTCCCCGCAGCCTGTGCTGGGAGCAGAGCAGAGTGGGGTTGGCTGGGGCTGCAGGATCCAGCCTGGGGTCCAGTGCAAGCCTAGCCAGGTGGGCTGAAAGGGGGCTTTCCGGGTCGAGTGTATTGGGTTGGGAGGTGCAAGGAATCAGCTCTGCTCCAAGCACACTCTGCTCCAGCCCATCTGAGCACAGCATGGGACCCAAACTTGCTCTAGGCTCTTGGCTCACAAGTTCAATTGCGACAGGATCCAGGTCTCAGTTTTTCATTCCCTAAAGTTAAATCTCTTGTTAACCCAGCTTTAGTGCTCCCCCTCCCCGACACTGCTGCTTCAACAATCTGTAGCTGATTAAATGTAACCTAAGAGAGTCTCTTTACCTGAGGTGATAAGATTCAAGCAGCCAATAGGAGACTTGGGGGGGAGCAGAGAGAAAGAGCCACAGCCCTTGTTCCCCTTTGGGGATGCACTTCAGTGTGTGACAAGGGCTGGCTAATATCTCAGTGAAAGGATTCAAGCATTTGCCTAGAATTGTCGTTTCAGATTTGGGGGCGGTGAGGGGGTTGGGTAACACAAAGGGGGTTCTCTGAGACCTCTTTTGAGAATTGGGGAGAGTCCAAGCTCTGGAGGAATATGGTTAAACAACTTGATGGGCAAAACGGGAAGGGAGGAGGCCAGTGCTAGTCCCTGGGACTGAGAAGGGCAGGGCCTGGGTCCTCCTTCAGAAGGCACCTCCCAGCAGCCATCACTTTCCTCTGCATCTTCGGACCCCAGAGGGCCTGGCAAGTCTACTATTGGGGCTGCAGGCTCCCTGCTGCAGAGCCCAGTTGTGGCTCCTCAATGTCCTGTGATTCATGCATTGAAACATGGAGCAGTGTCCCTTGGCCTTCTGTATGATCCCCCAAAGGGGCATTCTGACACCACTCTTCTCTCTGACGATTCTAGAATGGTATAAAGTCACAACAAATGGAGTGAGAGGAGAGGACTTAGACTCAACCAAAGTGATCAGTCAGGGGCCGGCCTGTGGCTCACTCGGGAGAGTGCGGTACTGATAACACCAAGGCCACGGGTTCGGATCCCATATAGGGATGGCCGGTTTGCTCACTGGGTGAGCGTGATGCTGACAACACCAAGTCAAGGGTTAAGATCCCCTTACCGGTCATCTTTTAGAAAAAAAAAAAAAGTGATCAGTCAGGAGGCACCCCAGCAGAGGGACCTCACTTGAAGCAGGTGAAGCCGGCCAACAGAGAGTCTGCAATCGGCATCTCTGAAGCACATGGGGGAGGCCCGCACAGAGTCAGTAAGGTTTGGAGGCGCTGGCGGAAGCTGGAGAGCTGAAATAACAGACAGCACTCCATGTGTGGGGCTCATTTTGCAGGGTTGGGAGGGATCCCGGTCCTCTACCAACATTAAAATTTGGGTTGGAGGAGGTAGCTGTGATAAGGTCCGGTCCGACGGCCCCTGGACGGAAATGGGGATAAAACATCGCTGAGCACCCTGGGAAGCTGGCCTCCCGCGCTCTGCCAACGCCCCTGGCAGACTCCAGTCCTCAGCGGGCGAGAGGGCAAGAGGGGCCTTCGGCCTCATCTAGCATCTGCAGCGATCTGTCGGTCTCCAGATCCATTCAGGGCTCCCGCGCTCTGCCAACGCCCCTGGCAGACTCCAGTCCTCAGCGGGCGAGAGGGCGAGAGGGGCCTTCGGCCTCATCTAGCATCTGCAGCGATCTGTCGGTCTCCAGATCCATTCAGGACCCTAGAGGAGAACCCACATATGGGCGCTTCAGGACTCTGCCCGCTCCGGGACGAGGAGCCCCTGGATGGATTGGACGGGAATCTGGTGATCGGGCACCTGCGGTCACTCGGCTACTGGGACCCCAACCTGGAAAGAGGAAAGCCAATGAGAACTGGACTTTTCCTCTCAAGGTGGAAAGGGCGCCTCGGCCCTGAGTAGAAGCCCGGACTCGGCCCTGGAATCTTCGAAATAGTTGAGGAAGACAGTTGAAAGGGCGGCCGGGGAGAGAGGGGCTTCTCTTTGCGCCCTCCAGCCCCCACCCAGTCCAGCCGCGGTTGCGGTCGCGGTCGCAGTGGGCAGAGGCAGAGGATGCTCGCAGGACGCTGCTGCAGTTGCGACCTCTTCCCACTAGATGTCTTCCCAGTTAATCGGAATTAAAGGGCGCTGTCTCTGCTCCCGATGCCTGAGACTTGGTTTCCCCTGCGCTTTTTGAAGTTCGGTTGTGAAAGCAAACCTTATTCTTATGCCCCCCTCTCCGCCCTGCATTCGAAATTCTGGCTCTGGAAATACACCAGAATCAAATGCTGGCTCCCTGCGGGCCTGCGTCGAACCGGCTCACGCCGCTGGAATCTTTTTATGACCTTTGATGTGTTTAAATAACATGGCAAGGCTGAGCACACACCTCGGATTAAACTTTAATCGGCTGCAGTCAAGGTTGCCCAGGTGGTAAACGCGTTTCCTCCGACGTCTCCTGGCGGACACCGCGGGGTCCAAAGTCTGGGGACACAGCCCTAGGCCCCCACCATACCCTCCTGCCTCTGCCCAGGCCCGGGTGGGGGCCAGGACTGGGGCCACCCCTTCGAGCTCCAAAGAGGACTGAGGAAATGGGATCGGAGGTGGACACCCCGGGTGGGCTAATGACCTGAGCACCGTTTTTATAGCTACTAGACAGAACAGTTAAAAATTCCAAGAGGCACTTCCAATTTCCCCTGACTTCAGAGAATGGTTGAAGGTCCAAAGTCATGGTCAGTGCCTTGATTATTTTCCCCAGCGTGGCTCTCGTAATGATGGCAAAACCAAGTTGGCTGATTGTTTTGAAGGTTGCCAAGCCCATTAGTGGGTCAGGACCTAGGACCCAGGCTACCATGGCCTGTATGTGTGCCAAGCTGCACAAGGTTAGCTTCAGTTCAATCCGGGCTGAGTCACTGGATCTGAACATTAACTTTCTGAGCCAATGCACCTGCTATGGAGAATTGTCTTGTCAGTATTTAAGATTAAAAACCCAAGCATGTATAGTGAGGACCACCATTGCACTTTTAAAAAGAGGGTATGTGCAGACGGGCTGCAAGGACAGACAAATCATAAGTAACAACAGCTTCCTTTGAGGAGAACTGAGGGTCAGAGGGTTGGAGTAAAGAATTCATTTTTTTGCTGTCAATTAAATGTTGTGTTGTTTGTGAAGTGCACCAATTGCATGAGCTAGCCGTTGGGGTCAAAAATCTTCAGAAAATGGGGCATACTATGTATCTCACAGCCAAACATCTTTCTAGTGAATTTCTTCCACACATCAAACATGACTTGGATTCAGGGGAGAACACCGAAATAAGGTACCCCAAGGCTTAGATCTCAGCCTTATAGGCATCAACTCAGACTCCCATACCCTGAGAGAGGTTCTCAAGTCTCCTCTATCTGGACTCATCCCCTAACCTGGAAATGAAAACCAGCAGAAGACATAAAGCCCCAGCCATTCACAGCAACAGAACTCTATTCTCAAAATGAATTAAAACCTGGGTGCCTGTGGGTTTGTAGACAAGGCCCCCACATGCTCCTCCAAACCAGAGATTCTCATAGCTCCTAGATATCATGAGGATAGTAAATAATCTTTATATTTGGATTGTCAAGTCCCTTTTTTTGGGGTGGCTGGTGGGTACTGGCAGGTCCGAACCCTTGACCTTGGTGTTATAACACAGTTCTCTAACCAACTGAACCAACCGGGCCAGCCCTGGATTGTCAATTCTTGTCCCTAAGTGCCAAGAAACTCCACAAACTAGACTGGAGTGTTAACCTCTTAAGTTAGAGACAATATTATCACTTACTAAAGTTAGTTTTAAAAGTGCTTCTTTGTGGAGCCTTCTGGGGACTGGTAATACTTTATATCTTTATCTTTGTAGTGGTTACACAAGTGAATACACATATAAAAATTCAGGAGCTGGGTGCTTGTGATTTGTATGCTTTGCTATATGTAAGTTACATGGCAATAATTTTTTTAAAACAGTGCTTCCTCATAACGACCTGTGAAGTAGGTCCCGAGGTTATTATAATCATCTCCACTTTACAGACAAGGCAACAGAGACTCAAGGGAATTTAGAGTCCCAGGCCTCCGTGGAAGAAAATTATCACCAACTTTGCTCCTCGTCGTAGTCTTGCTGCTTCGATAGCCAGGTCTTTCTTTTCCAGCAGATTTCTTTGGTGGCAGGAATCGGTTCAGTCCAGAGATGCTCTTTTTCAGAGTGGTTGTGAGGCGAGAACATGACGATCTGCGCCTTCTTCGAATCCTTTACGTTTCGGGTAGGGAGAGGGAAGGGGAGGGTGCGGTGCTCAGAGTCTGTGAGGCCGAGAAGATCCCGCTTGTGTGCTTTTAATGAGAAGACGGCCCCCAGGGCTCGGAACACACTTTTTTTTTCTTATTGCAGCCATCCCTGCCACACGCACCCCGCCGCAGAGCCCAAGGCCCGGGAGATCGCTTGGGGCGGCCGCACCTTCCCGCCGGTACGCACTGTGCCGCCCTGCCATTTCTCAAAAGCACCGGCGACGTGGGTGAGGGTCTTCTGAAATAACTGCGGTTGCAGTTCGATGGCCGAGGACAGAGAAAGCGGTTGTTATTTATTCCAGGCACAGTCGCAAAAGGCTTCCAAAAATATAGAGCCGAGATATTTTATTGTCCAGCCCGTCTGCAGCCGGTAATTATGCGTTCAAGATGTTTAATGTGTGCAAATGCATTAGCTGCTTGCGCTGGTGAAAACCCTAGCTGGGGCCGGAGAGGCACGTCTGGAGATAATTATGTCGTACAGTCGCAAACTTTATTCTGCTCTTACTGTAAACGGCCCCGGCCACCTTTAAGAGAAATCGGGAAAACGTTGAGAGTGACTCGCAGCGTTTACGTGGGCAAACTGGGTCCTTTTGTTGTTATTTTGATTCCTTTCCCGGATTATTCGAAGTGTCTAAAGGGCGGCTGCTGTGCCAGGCTCAGGGACGCGCCAGAGAGAGGGCGCCCTGCAGAGGAGCGCAACAGAGCAGCCCATGCGGGTCCCTGGTGCCCCTGGGCCCTCGGAGGCCTGACCGGGTACTGGGCGGCAGCGGGGGGCTGGCGGCGTGGCGCCTCGGGGCCTCGGGCAGGCCCCTCCTTGGGCAGGGTCGGGCACTCCCGCTGTTCAGGGCCGTTCCGGGCTCTTCGGCTGCGCTCCCCGGATACTCCGACCCGATTCCGAGGCTGCTTCGGGTGGAAATGCGACCGCTAGGCCGAGGCCCTGGACGCACGAACAGTTCTCGAAAGGGGCAGACTGAGCCCTTGCTGGGGTGGGGTGCGGGGTCGGCTCTCGCGAGGCTGACCCGGAGTGAACTTGCTATTTCGGGACCCGGGTGCTCCAGGGCCGGGAGAGCAGCTGGGATGGGCCCCCCCCCTACTTCCCCCTTACGCCCTGAGCAGGTCTCCCCACCCTGCAGTGGCCAAGGTGTGCGTCAGGGCTATCCGGAATCTTGTAAGGCCTTGTGTTGGCATCTCCCTCCACCCCACGACCGCCCCGCCCGCTGAGTGAGAGTGACCAGCGCAGGGACCGAAGGCCGGGCCGGTGGCCGGCCCTGTGAGGGACAAAGACGTGCGTTTGCAAGTCCACAGCAGCCCTCGCCCCCCAAATTTCCATTTCAGCTCAGGCTTTGAGGACAAAAACAACTACAGGCGGCGGAGGTGTGCAGAAGCCGGGCTCAGCTGGGTGCCAGGCCGGGGCGCTCCTTTGCGGGAGGCGGGCGGCCTCCCACCCTCACCCGAGTCATGCGGCCACAGCGCAACCTTCCGCAGCACGCCTGCGTCCTGTCGTCTCTCCCCAGGAAAAGATCGGATTTTGAAACTCGTTTTAGGCCGCTGATTTAAAAAAACAAAACCAAAAACCAACCAAACAAACAAACAAAAAACAGCACTGGGCGCTCGTTGCGTGTTGTGGGGCATCTCTCCCCAGGAAAAGATCGGATTTTGAAACTCGTTTTAGGCCGCTGATTTAAAAAAACAAAAACAAAAACCAACCAAACAAACAAACAAAAAACAGCACTGGGCGCTCGTTGCGTGTTGTGGGGCACGTTAGAAAATCTGTGTAGGATTCAGGGCGCATTTTCCGAGGCCTGGCAACGCTGCTGCAGCCCCGGGGCACTGAGAATGGGTAGGTGTGGAAGGATCTGTGAAGATGACGAAATCCCACGGAGGGAAATGCTCACATAGCAAAGACAAACAAAACCCACCAGACGTGATTTGTTTCTTCTCCAAATGCATTATCCGAAGAGAGTCCCTTTGGGCTACAGTTACTGGGGCTTGGGGTCTGGGGCGCTCAGATACACCAACGGTGGGGCAGGTTCCCTGAGATGTGCGCCCCCAATCTCACCATCGAGGAGTGTGCAGGCTCTAGCTGCAGGCGGAAAGCGGGGGAGGGAAGGGGGTAGTGAGGGTCCTGGGTGGCCGCAGACCCAAAGTAAACCCCATGATTTGAGTGCCCCTGTAGTAACGTTTCCAAGGCTCCCCAGACCTGGAGGGGGGAGTTACTTATTCAGCAGCTAGACATTTGGGGACAGCAAGATCCTGGCAGGAGGTGCAGACTAAAACTTTCACACTCACTACCCTTGTTTTTTGTTACCCTCTGTCTCCCTTTTTCTTGTCCACCTTCCCCCGACCCAAGGGAGTTAGGCCTCCAGATGCAAGCGGTTTTTCACCCAGGCGCCACCTGGATGAGATGGAGAGACTGGGAATTTTGAGGAAGGGTCCCACTAGTGGTTCAGATTTCAGAGACCTCAGAGGTGGCTACAGCCTAAATCCTGAAAAAATTAACTACATTCAGTGTCTGACAAACTTGCGGCCTGAAGACTTAAAATATGTCATCTTCTAACCCAGAGGTTCCTGGTTGACTGAGAGGCTAACAGAATTTCCCCAAGCGGTTTTTCACCCAGGCGCCACCTGGATGAGATGGAGAGACTGGGAATTTTGAGGAAGGGTCCCACTAGTGGGTTCAGATTTCAGAGACCTCAGAGGTGGCTACAGCCTAAATCCTGAAAAAATTAACTACATTCAGTGTCTGACAAACTTGCGGCCTGAAGACCTAAAATATGTCATCTTCTAACCCAGAGGTTCCTGGTTGACTGAGAGGCTAACAGAATTTCCCAAGCAGAAGAGGTTGGGGGGAAAAGCCATTGTTTCTGCAGATTTCCTGGCTCAGTTTGAAATCAGTGCTCACAGAGGGAGAGGGCATGTGTCCTAATGTAACGTCCTAATGTAATGTAATGTTTCTCTTTCTCTCTCACATAGAATTGTGGGTTTCTGAATGCCCTCACGGCAATCCAGCATTTGATCCTCCCTGTGGGAAGTGAATCTGATCAGGGCCTTCCTTCTTCTCCTCCTCCTCTGTTCTCCAGCCCCTCAAAAGAGCAGACAGAAACAGAAAGGCCCAGGGTGAGTCTCTTGCCACCGGAAGTGACTCTGCCCAGGACTCAAAGTCCAGAAATGCTCACTGATTTTTCTTCAAAGACTTGCTTGGGTCCTGGGGCTGGGTTGTTTGAGCAGCAAGGGTGCCTCCCTCGTAGCTGCACCCAACCAGGGACAGGGGTGGAAAGAGATGTGAAGGACTTGGAAAAATGGGTGAACAAGGCCACCTGGAAGATTTAGATTTCTCAGCTCTCTAGGTCCCCCAGAGGAGAGATTCTGTGGATGGGAGCGACCTTTGCCAATTCCAGCTTCCAGATTTGGTTTTCCTGCCCAGGAAAATTGGAGCCTTGTTTAAATCTTTTCCTAGAAGTTGTATGCTCGTTCTTTGGCTTTCTGTTTTCTATTAGCCAGAGACTTCACATAAGATAGTCTGCATTTCTCCCTCCGACCTCTGAAACATGTAATTTGGGGGAGATACTGTATTTAAAATGCCAGTCCCAGTAATGAGCCAAGCCTAGCAGTGTGAGCTCCCACCCTCCCCTTAATGAACAGAGCTGTCAAGAAATAATTTCACTTTGATCTAGTTTGTGACCTGAGTTTTTGGCTTAAAGAAGACTGGGCAGCTAATTGGATTCTTCAGTTGCCTTTAATCTCCACCTCAACACTTGGAACCTGACCAAGCTGAATTAAAACAAGTCTGATAAACAAGATGTAGCTGGCTCCCAGGTTAACAGCAACAAGAAAATCCCCACCACCACTGTGGGGTTTAATGATCACAGCGTGGTTGGCACCTCACAAAAAACCTGAGCCTGTAGGCCCCCAGAACTTGCAGCACGGAAGTCTCAGAATCCTTTCCCCTCCCTCCCAACACCCTGGATGTGGCTTAATTAGAAAGAGAAGGAGGGGTAGAGGGAGATGGGGAGGAAAAACTTACAGTTGGTGGAAGAGGCAGAGTTGGGGGTTCATCTCAAAGGGAGGCAGGACGTTGAGGAGACTTTGTCCCTGGGAGAGGAAGCAGCCTGAGCCTTTGAGGGCCGGACAGTAAAGATTGCAATTTGGATTTCCAACTGTGCCCCAAGAGTGAGGAGATGCAGGAGGGAAATAGGATATGAGGGGCAGGGTTATGCAGCCTGAGGGGCTGGGAACCATGGATTTTATTTAATCTTTTCAGATGCCAGGATTTTTTGTTCTGGAGGCAAAGCAGAAAGAGGAAAGAGTCTGCTGGGACTTCCCCATTCTTAGTTTGGGGCCTGAGAAAGGGTTCTCGGAGCTTCCCCCCTGATGCTGCCATCTGCTCCCTGCTGAAGTAGTGGAGTTCTGGGGGAACGCTTCTTCCAGGGCAGTGGGGGTTTGCTCTAGGCCAGAATTTCTCATCCTCCACACTACTGGCCTTTTGGACTGGATAACTCTTTGCTGTGGAGGTTGTTCTGTTTAGGATGTTAGCAGTATCTCTGGTCTCTACTTATTAGATGCCAGTATTACCTACCCCAGTTCTGAAAACCAAAAATGTTTCCAGACATTGCCAAATGTCCCCTGGGGGCAAAATCACCTCCGCTTGAGAACTACTAGTTCAGGCCTCTGTAAGGCAGATATTTCTGGGAAAAAAGTGCAGTGCTTTGCTTGAAGTGATCTTTGTTAGGGTTTCAGAGAGGTAGGGGAGCATGATGGGGTATTTTTGCTCCTTCTTTGGGCCTCTCTAGCCAGCCAGATCATGAATATTCTCAGGGCTGCCTTGAACCTCCATTGCAATACCTTCATTAAGGCTTTGAGCAACTGTCTAGCTTCCAGGGCATATAATCCAGACTTTTAGATACACTGAGTCTAGGATAAATGTGTGTGTGCATGCGTGTATGTCTGTCTAGGATAAATGCAGGGGAAGGGGGGTCCTGGCCTCACCTTTTCCTGTAGCTTTGAGTAAATAAAAACTCCTTTCCTTGGCATGCTTGCCCTTGAAGTGGGAAATGGCTGGGCTTTTGTGCAATCTGTGCCGTCGAGGTTATAAGGGAACAGATAGATTATTATTGCACATGCTGGGGTGAGAGGTAGTCTCTAAGATGCTGTTAGGCAGACTCTTATCTAGTAAGTGGTCCTATAGCTTTGTGTCTATCTTTTCCCTCCAGTTCTGACACCCTGACAACCTTGCTCTGAGCAACCTCCTTTCACTTAGGCTTTCTGGAAACTAAAGTCCAGGAAAGTATGAGTTTGACATAATTTATGGAACACTTGGTGTTACTATTTATAATGCTGATGGAAAATAATTTTAAATAAGAATTTTATCACAATCCAGCTATTTCAATCAGATTCTTTCTTCTTCTTCTTCTTCTTTTTTTTTTTTATTCCAGAATGTGTCCACATACACAAATGAAGAACGGTAATGGCTAAGATAAATTAATTCACAAGGATAGTTCTATCAGCCTTTGAATATCAATAATAACAATAACAAAATAGGATTAAGTTATGTGATCCTTATATATTTTTTTCACCTTGAGAATGGGTTATAGCCATTTAGGGCCAGCTAGGCACATTTAGGAGCCAGGGTCTCCAGATGTATTAAGCTTTAGGTATTTGACAAAATTCATTAGTTGAGTGCTTACAGAGTGTTAATCACTTCACAAATATTAACTCATTTTAACTGCCTAACAACTCTAAGAATTATTATCATCTCCATCTCACAGTTGGGGAAACAAAGTCCCAGGCAGGTTTAGTAATTTGCCCAAGGTCATCCAGCTAGTAAGGGACAACTCTAGGATTGAACCAGACATGGGATCCAGGGTCCATATTTTCAACCACTCATCACTGCTGCCTCTTGTTACAGTGCTGGGTAGGTACAGAGGTTCAGCACATGGCTGTTGGGGAGGTGGGCATCTCTGTGCTAAGCATGTAGCCAGTGCTCTAGAAGCCTCACTGAGCTTCAGGGCCAAATTTTTTGTCAACAGTGAGTCTGTTAATAGAAGCTTTTCTCATCATTGAAGGTAAGTTATGGGAAATGTAATGCATATCTCTGGTATTTACTACCTCAGGAACACGGGAGATGTAATGAAGGAAGGAAGGTTGTAATTGTAGAAAAACATCAATTCTAGTAACAGAAGTCAGTGGCAGCCAGAGACGTTCTCCCCAGGTTTCCGGCCCTGCTGGTGGCCCTCCAACAGGCTCCATACAGGCAGGAACCCCCCAGAAGAGGAAAGGGGCCTGTTATAGGAGTCGTCAACCTGTCACCACGGCTGGGGTGAATATGGCCTCTGAGTTGGGGGGAGGAGGGAGGCTTATTCTTTAGCACCGCCAGCTGCAGGAACAGAGGGAGGGGCTGCAGAGGGTGGGCTGTGGGCAGGAGGCTGGCGGTGGGGCTGGCCTTCTCCATCCACAGCCACAG